CAACAAAAAGAAGAAGAATCCCTACTTACCTTAGTAGGATGACTACTAAGGCAATTAGAAAAATAAGAAGCTTTCTAGGGGCCTCTTGAAAAACAGGCCCCTTTCAAAGAAGACTCTTCTCACTACATGCCATTGTAGGCCAAATGGAACTGATCAACTGGCATTGTTCAGAAGTTCTTGGATTCTCCACCGGGATCCAAAGGCTGAGGATATGACGCATGCGCATGCCGCTGGGCTGGTTTGTGGCCTATGAGGTAGGAGCAAAGCAAATAAAATGTCAACACATGCGTTCACCTAACATTCTAAATTCAATGTCCAACTGGCCTGAGCTTTCATAGCTGAGCTTCCAACCCTGGCTTTCACCTGTGCTTTTGCCTTCGCTGCAGCTTTCGGCAAAGACTTGGCCCTTGCCTTCGGCTTGGCCTGCAGGTTTGGGGTCATGGATGGTCATGATATCGTTCGAGTCAGGCTGAAGAGTTCGTGTCGAGTCAACTCTGTTTGACCTCCGCCTTGCTAAACAAACAGTTCAGACTTGTCAGTAGCGGAACGCGACGCAAACAACACAAAGGGCCGCACCCCAGCATCCGGTAGCACCACGCTCATGCGCTGCAGATCCAAGTCAAGTCTGTCAACTATACACTCCTGTCCAAAGCAGCCCACATATGGGTGGGATTAGGGCAACATCAACATCTTTAACTGGTGCACAAGTAACCCCTTTCCTTGACGGAGTGCAGAGTTTCTACAAGGTCCCTGGACAGATCATTTCAACCATTCTCCTCGATGTAGTCGCCCCTTTTAAACGTGCGACCAATGGATGTAGGAACATTCAGTCTTGCATCTCTAACCTCAACCAAACAGGAGCCATACTTGATTGTCTTTCGTCAGTTTCCTCCCAAAACGTCTAAGTCTGCGTTGCTTGCATTCCTGGTTTGTAGCACTGTCTGGCCAGGAGGCAGCACCCACGTCGACGAAAACGCCGTAGATGCCCACATTCGTGACAGAACCTGCGAATGCATCACCAATCTGGATCTCCTCCAGCTCAGTAGCACCTGGCAGAAGCTCAGCCTCTAGAGGTGGAGGGAGCTGATGCCTCCAATCCACTAACGAGCCTGATTTGGATGCCTTGCTTTGACTTGCTGCCTGGACGAAGTAGCTGAGCTTCAGCGCACGCAGCAGTCCAATCAATCACTCTGGCAGTGCTGTCACAGTAATCCACATAAGTTCCGAATGTGGGCTGCAACAAACAGAAACAAATACTGTATATAGCTGAAATCGTCTGAAATAGCACAAAAACTTCACAGTTTGGGGGAGTTTTCAAACTAGCGGCATCCAACAAGTGCTACCTCGTTCAATACATTGCAGCGCAAGTTGCATCTGCTTTTGGTACAGGTAAGGTATCCCAATTTGATGCTCTTGAAGATCTTCTTTGCCAAAAAAGACAAGCACCCAGGAGTCATGTGTCCCTATTGAGGTGGCCAGTCAAAAGCCAGTCAAAAAAAAGGAGCTCAAATAAAAAATTGGATTCTGTTCTTGACATTGCTTTGGCCTGTTTGGCCCTCGATTGTCCTGGCCTTCGCTTTGGGCTTTGCTTTGGGCTTGGCCTTTGGCTTGGCCTTCGGGGTAGCTTTCGCCTTGGCCTTGGCCGGCTCCTTGGGAGGCAAACCGCGCACCGCCGCCTGGGCCAAGTGAACCCAAAATGTGTTCACGCCTGTGCTGTCGAAAGATATGAGATGTCAAAAGGAAAGATGAACTCATAAGATGAAAATACATTCAAGAGGCAAACGAGCAATGTGCAAACGGCTGAAAAGCAAGGATCGAAAACATCAAAATACGCCATGGACTCAAGAAGTGTGAACAGAGTCCAACCTGATAGTGATGGCCTCCAACATAGTAGCTTCTTGTTACTCTAATAAGGATAGTCACTTAAAAATGATAAGGACTTGTCAATCAGCACCACCTCCGGATCCGGCAGGATCACACTCATGCGCTGTTGCTCCAAATCAATGCTGTCAACGGTGCAATCCTTCACAGATCGGCCAATGGGATTTCTTCCGACAGCAAATGTGCATGTAATGTATTGGTCAAAAATGCCGTTTGTTCTGATCTCAACAAGACCCTTTACCCAGTTCACGGTCGCACTTTCGGCACCCCCACCTGGACAACGTCTCCGATCCGGAACTTGCGTCCAACGGATGCTGGGACGTTCAGTCTTGCGTCCCTAACCTCGCAAGAAACTCACTCAAAGTTGATAAACTGTGTAATTCCTATAACGTTGTCGATAGACTATAGACCGAGAGGCTCTTGTGTCTTTCACTGTCTGTGGAGCTGCCTTTGGTTCCTATGCTTTGTGCGTGCTGGCAATTTCCTGCCCAGTTCCTCCGAGTAGCAGCGCCCAGGTCGACAAAGACCCCATACACACTGACGTTGGTGACCGTCCCTTCAAAAACATCGCCCTCTGTGATGTCTTCCAGTGGTGTTGCACCTCCAGCGCTAGCGTGCTAGCTGGCTGGCCTTTATGCTGTTCAAGCACAAATCCTTAAAATGATGCATACAGTTCCACTTGGGCTTCATCAGAACACTCTACTCAGTCTGTGCTCAGAGAAACATAAACCTTGGGTAATCCTTGACATACCCAATCGTTTGAAAGCATGTTCGCAAAGGAGCAGAAACAATATCAGTGTCAGGGCCTTGTTAATCGTCCAGAGCCTACATTGACCAAAACATGCAACCGTACCCTTTCAGGGAGGATATGCTGATTGCAGGGACGAGATGAGTCTGTAGGCTACAAGTCTTACGTTCACTTAAAGGCTTCCAGGCTGAGAAGCTTCGGAATCGGTTCACAACGAGATAGCTGGCTAAGTGTGAAGGGACAAAAACCATCTGACCTAACTTGTACTTCATGTCATTTTCATGTGGTATCGTTGTTTTTTCCATCTAGCTTAGCTCAAAACAAAGTCACATCGGCACGTCCCTTGCCGCCTTGGTGGCCCCAGTCTTTTCGTGGTCGACTGCGAGGCCGCGGGCTCTTGGCCCGGCTTTGGGGTGCTGGGCTCCGCCCCCGAGTCGCCCTGGGCCTCGGAACGGGCGGTTCTGGAGCACGGAGCATTCAGAAGCTCCAACCCGCCTCGGCTCCAGCTCCATTCCCTGCAACTGACCCTCATCCACTTCCATGACCACCTGGAAGTGTGATCGTATCGGCCTCTCAGCCTATCAGCCTATATCAGAAGAGAACATCGATACACGACATCGACATGCAATTCCAGACTTCTCAGATCTCAAAGCCGAGGATCTTTGCCAGCATCAGGGTCTATAGACCTCACACTCGAGTCTATGGCTATGGAATCTGAAACCAACACCAGCACTCCAAACATGTTGGGTACTGGATCAGGTGTAAATTGGCAAATCGAGAAAAGCCGAAAAACAGGATCGTCAAGTCTTCGATCTGCATGCCCTTCCTCAGACGGCGCCCTAGCCTCAGGTGAGTCGAAGGTGTTCCTTTTGAAAACGGCTTTGGGCAAACAAGTAACAAGAAGCTGCTAGGGGCTCCTGGCATCGCTACTAGGAGCAAGGACGCTACTAGGGGCTCCTGGCCGTACTACTAGGAGCAAGTAGCTACTAGTAACAAGAAACCAACATGGACCCTATGTGAAGTGAGTGAGCTCTTGGGGAGATGTTCCTACAGGCTGAGTGACACCATCATACACAAGAAGGGTCATCTTCATCGTCCCTCCGCAACAGGGTAGATCCTAGGAGCATGGAAACCAACATCCTGCCATTCATATCTCCAAAGCAAGACACACCCACGTCACATATATAAGTTGCTCCTTTTAGTTGCAGTTTACACTGTCTCTCATTGAAAGCAGTTCTGTCTCATCGGCTCAGCTCAGACGCTTCGATGGAACTTTGAGCAGCCCATCTTTCACTGCTCCGAAGTCCACAAAGACGCCAAATCTCAGAAGTTGGGCTGATGAGGGACAGTCAAGTTTCAATGTTTCTCAGAGGATACCTCTTCCCTTGATCGTGCAGATTCTGATGGAGCAAGACCTGCGCCTTTCGGACAAGACACTGACCCACATTGGTCACTGTGCCCGTGTAGCTCGCATTTGTATCGACATCCGAAAGCGGTGTTGCGCCATCATGGGTCCAGTCCTGGTGAGTGTGTTGAAACCAAGCAGCTCGGCTAAAATATGATCCAACTCCTCCGATGTAAGAAGAATCAGAAAGAACACCCCACCTCTTCTTCGTGTTTGAGTGACCCTAACTGCCATCTGCCAAGACCATGCTAGACCGCTAGACGTGACTGCCCACTGAAACCTGAGTTGCTTGGTCTTTACTGTATATCTACATGCTCGGCTCCACCCTCCACACTGGCCTTCCCCATCAGTCGAGTGCACGGCCGGGTTGGGGCTCGCCCCGAGCGGTGGCCGCTGGGAGCCAAAAGGCGGTGGCCGCTGGGGGCATCAAAAGACAAAGCTATGCTAGCTACCATAGACTTGTGTTCTCATAGACAAAGGTTGGAGGCCATCGCTCTTAGGTTGGAGACCATCGCTCTTAAGTTGGAGGCCCTCGTTCTTAGGCTGGAGCCCATCGCTCTTAGGTTGGAGGCCCTCGTTCTTAGGTTCGAGGCCATCCCTCTTAGGTTGGAGGCCATCGCTCCTAGGTTGGAGACCCATCGCTCTTAGGTTGGAGGCCCTCGTTCTTAGGTTGGAGGCCCTCGTTCTTAGGTTGGAGGTCATCGCTCTTAGGTTGGAGGCCATCGCTCTTAGGTTGGAGGCCATCGTTCTTAG